TTTTTCTATCAGATTTACATCCAGCAAAATCAGCATCACTATATGATATTAATTCAAAAGAACTATGTTTTGGATAATATAAACCATAATTTGTAGTATCTTTAATATATCTAAAAATTCTTTTCACTGCTTTAAGATGTGATTCTTTAGGATTAGATTGAAATCTTGCACATAAACATACACTAAACATAATATCAGGTCTACTAGCAGTAATGTAAAGAAGTGATCCAATCATACCTCGATAGAGCTTTTGATCAACATTCTTACCATTTTCATCTTTGTCAAGAGATATCGTAGTGCTCATAGGTGTTGGTTTGCTTGTTGAATTTTCCAATCCGAATCTTTTAAGTAAATCTTTTGCGTACTTGCTTTGATTGATGAATATTCCTTCTTTCAATTGTTTAATTTGAAGTCCAAGGAAGAAATTTAATTCACCCATGTGACTCATTTTAAATTCATCCTGCATAGTCTTAGTAAATTCTTGACAAAGATTATTGTTAGTAGAACCAAAAATAATATCATCTACATATATTTGAATTAGTAAAATATCTTTATTTATTTTCTTAATAAATAATGTTGAATCAACTTTTCTAATTTCAAAACCTGAATTTAAAAGAAAGTTCTTTAATCTATCATACCAAGCACGAGGTGCTTGTTTCAGACCATATAATGCTTTCTTAAGTTTAAAAACATGATTTGGAAAACTTTCATGTTCAAAACCTGGAGGTTGTTCTACAAAAACTTCTTCTTTTATAAAACCATTTAGAAAAGCACTTTTAACATCCATTTGAAATAATTTAAAATTCATAAAACATGCAAATGCAAGTAAAATTCTAATTGATTCTAATCGAGCAACATGTGCATAAGTTTCATCATAATCAATTCCTTCTTTTTGATTATAACCTTGAGCAACTAATCTAGCTTTGTTTCTAACAACTTGACCAAATTCATCTAATTTGTTTCTAAAAATCCATTTTGTTCCAATAATGGATTTATTTTGAGGTCTAGGTATAAGATCCCAAACATTATTTCTAGTAAATTGATTAAGTTCATCTTGCATAGCAATTATCCATGAATCATCAAGAAGTGCTTCTTTTATATTTTTAGGTTCAATAGTTGAAATAAAAGCATTATGAGCAATCAAATTAAAATGAGATCTAATAGTTACTTTGTCAGAAATATTTCCTATACACTAGTGGAAAACTGCAATTTACCTACGGAACAATAGCGATGGAATATTCCGTCGCTATAACAAGGGTTATAGCGACGGAATAGTCCGTCGCTATTTTTCCGTCGGTAAAATTTCTTTTACCGACGGAAATATACAATTTAGCGACGGATAATTATCCGTCGCTAAAATATATAGCCACGGATTATTAGCGACGGAAATTTCCGTCCTAATAACATCTTTAGCGACGGAAATTTCCGTCGCTAAAGAAATCTAGGGCTAAAAAATTTGGGCGCGGGCGCCCAAAAAATTTGGGCTGCCCGCGCCCGATAAAAATCTGGCTTTCCGACCCCCGTCCCCCCTCTCCCTGAATTCCCCCAGGCACCGAATCCCACCTCTCCTCCTTCGCCCTCCGCTCTCTCCCCGCCATTCTTCTCCACCGGCCGATAGAAAAAATCTGTCGCCCCTCTCCTCTCACCGCCGCCGCCTGTTCCCTCCGCCGCCCCATTCTTCCGCCGTCGCAGCCGGCTCTCTCCCTAGCTCGTTTGAGGTAACCCTCTCTCTTTCCCCCCCCTCAATCTCTCTCTCTCTCTCCTCTCCTTGTCATCTCTTTCCCCCGCCCCAATCATCTCTCCTCCTCTCTTCCCTCTCTCTGTTCTCCACTCTCATCTGTGACTGACGCGCGGCGCGGGCCCGAACCAAACTGCGCCTCTGGAGCTCCTACCCCCTCCTGATCTCGCCACGCCCTCGCCTGGGTTGCCACCTCTGGCGCTTCCTCGCCTCCGACCGCGAGCTGGTGGAGCTCGCCTTCAGGAAACCGTGGAACGTCAAGTGGGTGATGGGGACCCCATCGTCGACGGCGTTCTGGAGGAGTCCCGGCCTCGATCGGTTCGCCATCTCGCACCGTTTGCAGCGGGGTGATTCCGTCGCTGAACTCGCCCTTAAGTATTCCGTGCAGGTAAATTTTTATTTGTTTTTTTTGGTAGGTGATTGGATTAATTTGGGTCTTCCTCATTTATCATTCTTTTTCATCCCTGTTTTTTATGTTCGGACGAATGGGGCAAGGACTCGTTGCCGTCAGCCAAGATCACTGACGAATGGGGTGAGAAATCGGATCTGGATCCAGAGGTAGCATCGGAACCCGATCCTCCGAGGGATGAGGATGACTAGGGGAAGGAAGCGAGTTCGGGCTATGAACCCGATAGTGACTAGTTGGGGGATTTAAAGAGTTGCCTTGTGGATAATCTCTATGGAACTGAGTATGGACTGAGAGCGAGCGTTGAGGTTAGGGCTGAGATTTTTGAGCTGGTAAACCAGTTGGAGGCGGAGAGTCCGACACCGGCGCCGAACGAGACCGCGGAGTTTCTTGATGGGAATTGGATTTTACTGTAAGTTTTCCGTTGCGTTTTACTGATTTTAGTTGTCTAATTTGAAAAAATTGCATTGCTTTCTAGAGCATGTGAAATGTTGTGATTATTACGTATAATAAGAACACTTGAAATCCACATTGAGAATGGTGATGACTTGATTCTCTTGATATGCTAGACTTGGGCATTCTCTGAGTTTCAGTTATATATGTAATGTGTGTCTGTAGGTGTTCGTTTGATTATGCGCTAACTTACTGGTTCGCCTTTAGACTTATTTTTAGGAGATTTGCACTATATCATTGTTGAACATGAGTGTTTGTGATGTGAGTTCATGCCACAATTCCAGCCTGATACTCCTACCGGTAACCACAGCAATCCAAGGTGCATGATTACTTTTGGTGACATTTGTTAACTTTTTTTCTTTAAAGTTAGGAGTATTCTTCATTGTGATGATGCTTGGATCTCTATATTTAGATGAATATAATCTATTGATTTGCTTGACTATGTACATCTTTGCTCTAAACTTTGCAAATTCATAAGAAGCAAACTTCTCTAGGATCTCTATATTTCAGATTTTTAAAAATAATTTTAACCACGAATGTATCAAATATAATACTTAACATGCTGGGAGTTAGGGTGTAATGGACATCTAATAATATCCAAAATTGCTTTGTGTCTGTAATCAGTGTCCTTATGATTCATAGACAGATGTGCATATATATTATGTTAATCTCCATTGGCTTCACACTAGCAAAGTTGATGCATACTGCCTGTTGTTCCTTTAATAGGAAAAGTACTTGGAAAGTTGATGCATACTTTAGAAGGAGATGAAAGGGAAGGATGAGGGATTGAGCTCGTAGGCGAAGGTAATAAAAATGATTCTTTTTTTTTAATTGCTTCTTTGGTAGGAAACAAAGGTGTTGGATGCTAATCTATCTATATGCAGCAAGAAACGGTTAGCTCAATAATCACTTGTTGTTTGATGTTTATCCTAGCAGTGTTATTTAGTGGGAGTTACATTCGTCATTTTCTATTTAATTTTAATGCAGTATTGATGTCTCAAGGAATTGTGTTCTTTGGTTTCGAGCTCTATGCCATCGATCGCCTCCGAGGTAATTTCTAGGGTTTCCCTTTTAGTGTCTTAGCTTTATTCTTCAAAGCTTCAATGAGTATGAAGCTTGAATTTGCTTGTTTGGAACCATAATTTATGACCAAATTACCATCTCATATCTTGATGTCTTTGATTACAATGTTAGTGTTAAAGCTGCTTATGGAGGTTAATGGCTTGAGAGGAACTAGAGTGAATAATGTTGGTCGAGTGATTGATGGGTATCCAAGATTGGAGACTATGCCATTGGCACTGTTAGTAAATTAACTGTTATTTTGAAAATAAGTTTGTAGTTTTTAATAAGCTTGCTGTAGATTCAACATAAACGAGAACACATATGCTGTCTGGAAAACAATATTTAACTCAAGTTTAGATGTCATAAATTTCATATTCAAAAGAACCACTAATTTTCGATTTATCTAAGTGACTAAATTTTGTTTTACAGTTGGGCAAGTGGAGCATTGGATCCAGAAAGCACTGCTTCTCTTGACTTTGTTACATCTGTAAAGAGTTCACAAGGGGTGTAAGGAGTTCACAAGGCTTTCTTTTATGTTGAGGCTTATTCATATCCAAACACTCAGTGGGATGGCTGTTACACATTTTGAGATGTTATTAGATTTGCTGAGGAAAGTCATTCCAGGCGGCGAGAAAAGCATCCCCGCGACCTATTACGAAGCTCACAAGATTGTTGATACGCTGGGGCTTGATTACAAGAAGATAGACGCCTGTATTAACGACTGCATCTTGTACAATAAGTGTAATGAAGCTCTGGAGGAATGTCCGACGTGTCATGGCATCTTGACACGCGTGCAGATGGAGTAGATTTTTTTGCACTTTGCAGTTACTGGGACACGGCTGAAATTCAGGTATTATTGAAGTATATATTTTTAATTTATTGTTTGAATTTCTATATTGTTTCGAATTGACATTGTTTTGCAGGCTCAAGCTGAAATAGCAAGGAGGAATCGCAACGCGCCTCGCAGTTACGAGCATCACGGGGGCTCCAGGACATTCAGCAAAGAATAAGGATCTGACTGTAAGTAGCAGTTCATTTATATATTCAATTTCATATCAATGCATCATTATTAAGTCCACTTGCCCGGGTTGTTTTGATATATCGCAGGAGAAATTACATGCCAAGGTACAGGAGCAATTGACTCAGTCTCAGGTCTGTTCTAACACTCCTGCCCAGCTAAGTAGAGAGGATGAGGACTCCATCATCGAGACGGTCATTGGACCTAGTAGGAAGAACAGATATCGGTGGAGAGGATCCGAGCAGAGGCCGCACGAGTCTAGTAGCACCTACGAGTCTGCAGCACCACAAGGAACACCAGGAAGCAGTTCATATCAAGACTCGATGGAGCAGCGATTAAAAGCGATTGAAGATCGCCTGTCGCAGCAAACAACATATCAGCAGGCTCTAGAGGAAGAACGGAGGCGTCGGGAGCAGATCGTATTGGAGTTCACACAATTCATGTCGACTCTACCTCAGGAGGCTCAGGAGGCATATAGGAGACATTTTCTGTCGTCACAGGTAATATATATACTTTGCTTTTTTTTTTAATTAGATGATATCGTACATACTGATACATACTAATACAAACTGTTACACACAAATGGTAGTGATGGAGGGGGAGGGGGTGTGTAGAGTATGATTGGTTGGTGGGTGGGGGCTTTGATCGTGGTTGAGGATGAGGAGTGGGGATTTTGTTGTGGTGGTGGTTGAGGGGGAGGGGTAGGGCGAGGGGGAGTGTTGTTGGTTGGTAGGTGAGGGTAAGGATTTGTGGTGGTGGTGTTGTGTTGTGGTGTGATGTGTGGTGATGTGTTGTGCAGTGTAGTGTTGTGTTGTGTTGTGATGGTGTAGTGTTGTGTTGTGGTGTTGTGCTGTTGTGTTGTTGTGTTGTGATGGTGTAGTGTTGTTGTGTTGTGGTCTATGAAGCACGGACACACATAACATGAAGCCGTGTCGTGTTGTGTCCGTGTCGGACACACGTGTCGAACACACGTATCCTATGTATTTTTTAGGATTTGCCTCGTGTCGGCGTGTCGGATGGCCGTGTCGGATCCGTGTTATTTTTACATAGGTTGTGGTGTTGTGTTGTTGTGTTGTGATGTTGTGGTGTTGTGTTGTGATGTTGTGATGTTGTGGTGTTATGTTGTAGTATATTTATATTTGTACTCTTATTAACGTTTACACACACTTGTTAACATTTGATTTATATTTACAGGCCGGGACTTCTTCACAAGGTGCAGCCGGGGGTAGTCATAATGTGGCTGGTGTTGAGGATGAGGAAGATGATGATGATCAGGAGGATTGATTGTCCTTAATATAACTTTGAAAACAATTTCTTGTGTTGTATAAACAATATTTATTATGTACCTGTCGAGAAACTTTTACTTGTTTTTATTGAATTAAATGTGTGATATATGCGTGAGATGTGATATTTGCGTAAGATTGAAGCTTTCTTCTGCTGATTGAACAGGTTTTTAAAAATTATTATCGATATTGTACAGGGTTTTTTCAATTTTCAAAATATTTCCAAATTTCTTTTTTTTACTTTTTAGTGACGGAAATTCCGTTGCTAAAAAAACTTTTAGCAACGGAAATTCCGTCCCTAATACCTATTTTAGCGACGGAAAACATGCACGAAATCAAATCTGGAAAATATTTAAAAAAAATAGGGACGGATTTTCCGTCCCTAATAAGTTTTAGAGACGGCTTTTCCGTCCCTAAAACAACTTTTAGGGACGGATTTTCCGTCCCTAATGTTTTTTAATTTTTTTATTTTTTAAAATTAGCGACCATTTTACCGTCGCTAATAAACCGTCGCTAAATTATAGCGACGGAAATTCCGTCGCTCAAAGTCTTTTTAGGCACCCCTGTTATAGCGTCGAAGTTTTAGCGACGGAAATTTATTTTTTCCGTCGCTAAAACTTTTAGGGACGGAAAAACGACATTTAGGGACGGAAATTTCCGTCGCTAAAAGTTGAAAATCCATCAGTGCATGCTAAATAAGGCAGGAGTTCGAGAGAGATCAGATATGAGATCTACACGGTTTTCCTCCAGATCAAAGCTTGGCCTTTGATCCCAAGAAGAGTCTCGATTTCGCTTGGTCGATTTCGATTACTAAAGGCTATTATTTCCTTGGTGAAATAGTACCCCCGGCAGTTATTTCTTTGTATTTAAGATAAAACATTTACAACCAAAAACTTTAAAGTAAGATACTTTAGGAATTTTGTTATAAAATAATTCATAAGAGGTTTTCTTTAAAATAGGTCGTAATAAAACTCTATTTAATACATAACAAGCTGTTGATACAGCTTCTGCCCAAAAATATTTAGGTAAATTACTATCACACAACATGGTTCTAGCACATTCTTGTAAGGTCCTATTTTTCCTTTCTACAACTCCATTTTGTGGAGCAGCACGAGGAAAAGAGAATGTGTGTGATATACCATGTTGGTCACAATAATTTGCAAATAATTCATTTTCAAATTCACCTCCATGGTCACTACGTATAGAGATAATAGAAGTTGATTTTTGATTTTGAATTCTTTTGCAAAATATAGAAAACTCATTAAAAGCATCATTTTTATGTTTAAGAAAAATTACCCATGTGAATCTAGAATAATCATCAACAAGAACAAATGCATATCTACTTCCATTTAAAGATGCTACTCTAGATGGACCAAAAAGATCTATATGAATTAATTCTAATGGTCTATTTGTAGATATTACATTTTTAGATTTGAAAGAAGATTTGTGCATTTTTCCTTGTTGACATGCATCACAAAAATTATTTTTAAAGGACATCTTAGGCAAACCATTTACAGAATCATTTTTAGAAATCTTAGACATATGTTTAAAGTTAACATGTCCAAAACGTTTATGCCATAAAATAGAATCATTAGATGATGCAATAAGACAATGTTCATTTGAAATATTATTCATAGATAACACATATATGTTATTTTTTCTATAACCTTTAAAAATAATGGTTATTAAATCAATATCATAAATTAAGCATGATTCTTTTTCAAAAACAATTTTATAACCTTTATCACAAAGTTGACTAATACTTAGTAAATTATGTTTAAGACCATTAACTAATAAAACATTATCAATGATAGGTTTGTTTGGATTACCGACAGATCTAATACCGATGACTTTTCCTTTGTTGTTATCTCCAAAAGTAACGGTACCTCCATCCTTGTTTTGAAAAGATGACAACAATTGAATGTTTCCAGTCATATGTTTGGAGCAACCACTATCCAAAATCCACCTATCTTTCTTGGGTACCTGAAATAATAAACATTTACATTTTGGTACCCATACTATGTTGGGTCCTTTAAATTAGCCTTTAGGAAACCAAACCCATGAAGAGTTTGATTTGCCTAAATAGTTAGGTGATAAATAAATATTTTTAATAAAATCAGAAATATAAAAATTCTTATGTAAAGAAGATAATTCTTTTGGAACCCAAATAGAAAAGAATTTTGATTTCTTTTTATACAAATTTTCATATTTATAATCATGCAAATCACAAGAAGGTTTTACAAATATTGTATTCTTTGATTTGTTTTTATTAATTTGAAAACCTAATCCTTTTGTCTTTTGTGATTCTCTTTGAAAAGAAAGAATATTATTAAGATTTTCTTTTCCTTTATTAAATTTGCTTACATTTAAACATATATCTTCATATCTTGATTTAAAAGAAGAAATATCTTTTTCTAAATTATTAATACGAATATTTAAATCATTACATTCTGATTTTAAATATTTATTCTCATTAGATAAACATTCATTTTCTTTAAGTAATGAAAAATTTTCTTCTTTTAATTTAATTATTTAAGAATTAGAAAAAATAGAGGAATTTAAATCTGAAATTTCTTCAAGTAATCTTTTATTTTCACCTTTAAGAAAATTATGTGAAGCCTTTAATCTCAAAAAGGTTTCATATAATTCATTAAAAGCATCTAAAAGTTCTTCATTTTCACTTACTTCATCTTGTGCCATGAAACACATGTGAGCACTTTCCTTTTCTTCAATTTCTTCATCTGAAGATGACTCATCACTATCATCCCAAGTGACTGCCATTGCTTTCCTTTTCTTGTTATTTTGAATGTTGTTGAAGTTGTTGAAATAACTTGATTTTTGCTTATTCTTCAACATTGGACAATCTTTCTTCATATGCCCTGGTTTATTACACTTAAAACAAAGAGGGTTATTTGAAATTGAACTCTTAGATTTAAAATTACCTCGTTTTATAAATTTCTGAAATTTTGATTTAAAAATACCTCGTTTTATAAATTTCCGAAATTTTCGTGCAAACATGCCCATTTCTTCATCATCATCATCTGAATTTTCTTTATCGGAAGTAGTATTGAATGCAAGAGCTTTCTTGTTCTTTGATTCTTCATCATTCTTTCTATCTTCAATTTGAACTTCATATGCCATAAGATTACCAATAAGATTTTTAACCGTAAGAGTTGATAAATCATTGGCTTCTTCAATAGCGGTAACTTTCTTTTCCCATTGTGGAGTAAGTGATCGAAGTATCTTTCTTACCATCTCTCGGTGAATCTTGTAAACATTTCTCCTATAGTCTCGTTTTCCTTCATCTTGAATAATTCAAATCTGTGCACAAGAACAGAAATTTTAGATTCTTTAACTTTATTTGTACCTTCATGAATTACCTCAAGTGTATGCCAAATATCGTATGCAGATGTGGCCGTTGACACCCTATTGAACTCATTCTTGTCAAGTGCACAAAATAAGGCATTCATTGCTTTAGAATCCAAGTTTGCATTGTTCCTTCGAGATGTAGTCCATTCCGCGAAAGGAGTGGTTGGCTTCTCATATTTCGTTTCCACGACGTTCTAAAGTTCGTAGCTAATTGATTGAAGGTAAATCTTCATTCGGCACTTCCAATAGTTGTAGTTCAATCCATCGAACATTGGTGGACGATTTGTTGAGTGACCTTCTTTGAATTGTGAAGTATTTGTCGATGCCATCTTTCACCTTTCTCTGATACCAAATGTAGGATCTGAAATAGATACACTTGAACACTAGAGGGGTGGGGTGAATCGTGTTCTTTTAAAATTTATGCAAAGTATATTATAAATTGCAAAGAAAAATGGCAATCTCAGAAATTCACAATCACAAACACAAGAATTTTATACTGGTTCCACCAATCCGGTGTACATCCAGTCCCCAAGCAAATCCCGCTTGAGAGTTTTCACTATGATTTTGAATAAACTTACAAAATCAAACGCAAACCTGACCAATTTGCAAGTCCCTGCAAATTGCAACACCAATTGACAAACACCTTGCCAATTTGAACACCAAGCTCTAACCCAAGAGACTAACCCTCTCACAACCGACTCTCAAACCCGAGAGAAATCCTTGTTGAAGTAAGAACACAATTGATCCTATAAGCCTTGAATGTGTAGTGAAGTGCAGCAGTGGCTTAGGATTCTTTTAACCTCTGTAAATTGCCTAAATGATAAGTATTTGATGAATGTTTAGAGGCA